ACAGCCTTCAGGTGTGTCAGCCAAACCATTGTTGATGGACAGCTATTCAGTGACATGTGAAATGAAATGTTCTCAGGCCAGTTCTGATGGAGAGTTACCCACTTAAAAAAAAAAGTGGGTGTTGTATTTGTCATGGTCTTCCTTCTTAGCTTTTTTTATTTTTTTTAATGCAGATTGTACCAAACTTGAGCTGGTGTGAAAAACGAGCTGTGTACTCTTGGGGACAATTGTGTTTGAGAAGAGCTGAGACCTATTGATTAGATACTTAGTCTTGTCCACACTTGAGCAATTAAAAGATGCTGAAGTGATGGAGGGCTTTCTCAAAAGTTAAGTGAAAAGCAGGAATTTTGCTTTGTTCTGTAGAAGCTTGTGTAGATTAACACTTTTGCATTACTTCAAAGAATTAGTTTTTCCAGTGCTACCTTCCAGCATAAGTTCTGGACTTTTCAGTGTGCTTGCCCATCCCTATCTCCCAAGAATTTCAATTCAGATACATCTGAATCTGTTTATTTTCAGGTTTGCCTTTTATTTTGCACAGTGCTGTCATTGTTGCTTGAATAATTTTCCTTCTCCCTTTTGTGTTGTGTCTTGCTTTTTTTTTTGGGGGGGTGGGGTGTTTGTTTCTGTTTTTTTTCCCCCAAGACGAACAAATGCACGTAAGCATGCTCTGGAAGTGGAAAGAGAAAGAGCAGCCAAAGTTGCAAGCCTGCCACCTCCTCCTCCACATCCTCTTGAGGTATGTATCCATGATGCAATAGTGATCACAATTTCAGGGTACCATGTAATGTAATGATCTTTTTATTGGTCTGACTCCTCACAGCAGGATACCCAAAATTATTTGTGTACTATAAGGAGAGTGGCTCAGCAAAAATCAAGAAAATTAATGTATTATTTATTAGCATACCACTTGCTAGTTACCTTTGGTATTTATTTCTGATCTCTTATGTGTGGATTTTATTTCTTGTCATCTGAGAACTTATTGTTGTGTTTCATGTGTTTTTTAAACTTTATAATGATCTCATTTTCATTTAATAGCCTCAGTGGTATTAAACTCTACAATGATCTTTCCCAGCATGTACATGCCACCTCGGCGTTCTGTTGTAATGATGCAGTAGCAGCATTTTGATTAGTTCTGTAATAAAGGTAGTTCTGCCTTTGTAGCTGTGGGTTTTTTGTTTGTTGGTGGTGTTTTCCCTCCAATTTCCTTGGTTTTTGTAGGGAACACTAAATGTAGAGTAAGGAAAACAGTACCTAAGGCTGTTGTCTGTTTCAGGTGCTGGTGTTGCTGAGTTTGGCATTGTTGGAAAAGCACAAAATGCTGCAGCATTACTTTCTAGGAACTTCTGCAGTTTGAGATGAGTTTTATGTTGCATTCTATTAACAACAAACCCCAAACCAAACAAATTTCTAATTGGTGACCAAAAGGCAACTGCAGTTGACACTTATGTTTGTAGATTAGATAACAGCTAAAAGGACACAGTACTATCTAATTCTTTTCATCTAGCAACCTCAGTAGTGCATCTCTTACTGTTTTACAGACGTGGAATTTCCTTCTCATTCTTTAGTTGCAGGACAAGCAGGAAGGCTTTGCTCAGGTTTCCCCAGGTTCCAGTACAACTGCATTCTCTGTTGTGTCCAGTGACACTGGGTCAGTGCCCTGTTAGAGTATTACAGAATCGTAACTTCCTCTCCTGAAGTTCTACAATTTAATTAATTTCTACCCATTTCCATTTCAATCCGTTTCCACAAACGTTCTGTGCCCACCTTTTCAGCAAACATGATTGTAGCTGGTTTTAGCAGTTTGAGAACATCTGGCTTTTCTACAGTACATGGGTTTGTTTCTTTTAAGAAGTTCATGCTCTGATAATGGCAAATTGAATGAACAATTCTGCAGACGTGTTGGAGTTTTGTTGAGGAAAGAGATTGCATTGTTTAAATATAGCACAGCGTGTCAATTTGATCCGTGTAAAGCCTACCTGCCTTTAAGTCTTTTTCCTAGGTTTCATGTCAGTGTGGATTTTTGTCCTTTTGTCATAGGCTTTTGTTGTTGGGAGGGCACAGGATGAAGAATAAAATATTTTTTCTGAGTGCCAGGAACTGCATGGGGTAAATACCAAGCACCTGAAAGAAATAATTAGAGATGTGACTTATTCCTAGTTCTGTAGAGAGGGAGAAAACAAAAGATGTTAGCTGTCAATTGCAGGGGTGGAAAAAGCTGGGAGTTTGTATTGCAAATGCATTACGCAAAAGGCACTGAATTCAAATTGCTTAACCTGACTCTAAATCCTCTGAATTACAGCAAATTACAAGGTCATCTGCATAAGCATGCTTATTTTCTTAAAGCAATTTACATAAAGAGCTTATTAAACATAACTATAATCATAATCTGATGCTCTGTTGCAATAACAATTGAATAAAATTTCGTAAAATGGAACTAGGGTGGTGTCGTTCATTGCAGGATTGCTTAGAATATAAGAAACATTTTCCAAAGATAATCCTATTATTGTTACTTTACCCAGTTACAAAAGAAGTGGGTTTATTCTACATACATTGTCATAATCAAGTTTAATTCTCAGAAGGATGGCTTTTAGGAAATGGGGCTTTATTTAGTTGGACCAAATATTAAGTTACTTAATTGAAGTTAAACTGTAAACAACATTTTAGTGGCAAGTGTCAAGGTTCTTACGAATCTTTTCCTATATATAATTATAAGATGTTTCTGTAATGGAAATACAACCTAAAAATGTTACTGTACGTTGCTGCTACAGTTTTGCCAGATTCTAGTACAGAGCTATTTACTTCTTCAGGGAAATTTAAAAAAAAAAAAAAAAAAAGGGAGTTGGAAACCTATTGATGGGTCTAAGGACAGATTAACTGCAGTGGTTCCATCATGAGGTATGATGATGTTACAAGTAGTATTCTTTTCAACCTAAATTGTTTTTGACATTAACTGGAAAATTGCAGCCTCCAGCATAATTCTTATATCTTCACAGCTTTTGAATAAAATCAGGGAGATTTTATTTGATTACATGCATTTATTATTTAATTATTTGTTATACTTATTTTTTTTAAAAAAATAATTCAGAAGGCTGAGGTAAAATTATCCATTCTGAAGGTAACACGGTACAGGTCAAGCAGTGGGTGATCTGGCTAATGAGGTTTAGGTGTGGGACTTTTCTGTTTTCAGAGCTATAATCAGTATCTACAAGCGTTTTGGTTAATGCTTGTTTAGAATCAACATTATTATTAGAATTACTGTAATTTATTAAGAAAGTTAATTTTAAACCAGCTTTATCTGCAAATAAAAGTGAAGATCTTGATGACGTGCTTTTGTTTGTACGTATTTGTGCATGTATTTGTTTATTGTCATTTTTGTCTTAAACTGGGGCTATGAAGATTTGCTCTTTCAGTCAATGTGGAAAACAGTCATTTTTTAGAAGAAAGTCTAGGGGAGAGGAAGCCGAGAGAAAATTAATGGAGGGGATATTAGAAGTACAAAGGCAGGTCCTGCAGAATACTGAGTTAGCTAACCTGGCTACCTCACTGCTGAGAACGTCAGGCTGAGGCAGAGTCTGGGCACTCCATGTTCAAACCTTTTTGGACAAGAGTTGACATGTGGTAGTGTACCCAGTACTTTGTATTTTATGAATAGACAGTTTTCCGTGAAGTTACGGAAAATTCTCTTTTTTTCTGGTGAGCTAATAAATTAGACATAATGGTTCTGAGTTCTGTAAAGAAAGTCTGTACTTGAAAAGTGTTACTTTGCTGTTAGGTATCATTATGTGGTGGATTTGTTTGCCCTGTCTTGAGGTGTGTGTGAGAGCTGTTGGAAGTGGGATTTGTAGTAGCACATTAAACTTAAGTGCTTTTAAATTAAGGTTCAATGCTTTTGAACTATGAAGGCAGAGCATTCTCAGTGTTAATTTATGTGGAGAAGTTTGCCTTGGGCTGTTAGATGCTTTCAGTTGTAAAGCCCTCTAGACGTGCCTTGTGCTGATGTCCTTTGTTAGCTATTGTATGTAAGCTTTTAAACTATAATATTTTCAGGAGAGAATCTGGAGGGGGGTGGCTTTCTTTTATACGACAGTATACTACTAATTTAAGTGTACACATCACTTCCTGTATATTTGCTTTGCCTGTGATACAGCTGTGCTTGTACTTTTCTTCCTAGAATTTTGATGTGAAAAAAACTGCTGCAATGAAACCCTATAGTGCTGACAACTTTTCTGTTACACGTCATCATATTCCCAAACCTTACGTGGATGGAGAAGTGGATGGAGAGCAGGTGATTAACCCTGAGTGTGATGCATACCTCCATCTGTCTTTATATTGCATACAGTCTGGATATCAGCAAGTCAGCTTTCTAGAACGTATTTAAAAATGAACTTATATAAAGCAGCCATTACACAACTGACTAATTGTAATCTTGGATGGGGAAACTTGTAAGGCCCATTACATTCTCAGTCACTTGCAGGATCACACAGTCCCATGTGAACAGACCTCTGTAAAGAAGGTGGATTCATAAGACTGGCATAATGTTAAGACACCCAAATCTTCCACTTAGCAGCTTATGCTGAACTAATGGTTGCAGTTGCCCTTCTTTTTTCTCTTCTCCTCTTTTTAGCTTTGTACTTGCTGTCTTTACCTTGTATTTGTATTCGTCCAGTCATGCAGTCAATGGTTTCAGCTTGCCAAAATTGCACAGGTTTAATCTGAGGAAAAAGAATGATGAATAGATTTTTGCCAAATGAAGAAAATTTACTCAAGCTTACAGTAGAATCATAGAATCACTATGGTTGGAAAGGACCTCTAGGGTCATCAAGTCCAACCTTCCTCCCAAGATTTCCCTAACCAGACAAAGGCCAAAGTCAGATGGGAAGAAAGGGAGGACCTGGAAAGGGAGGGATGGAGCAGGAGCTTAGCTTTTAGAGGAGATTTTTGAAATAAGGTAATGCTATCGAAACGGGAACCAAATTAGATTCCTTTATTGGTGATGTGAAACCACAAGCTGAGTTCCTGTTCTGAATCAGCCTCTTTTAGACTAGAAAAGCTCTCTCAATTAATTGGTTTTGTGGATTTTTTCATCAGTGCATATGAAGTTTTCATTCATGAATTTAGGTTTTCTTAACATTTGAAGGACTAGTTCTAAACAGTAAGAGGAGACATTGTAGTTTGTTCAGTTTTGTCACAGAAAATTCCAAAATGTTAGTCTTTGTAGCCTTGCATATGTGCAATGATTATGTAATTTTTAATTCCTTAAGCATTTTTTAATTTTTATGTGTTTTTTTTCTCACTTAAAAATTTGCAGATCGTTTCTGGTTTCCCAAATGAGAATGAAAATGCTTCTAGATTTTTTTCCCCCCACCTTTGTTTAAAAAAAAAATCATGAGGATAGAAGTAGTCAGTCTGTAATATTGAATGTATTAATTTCACCTTGTACTGTAGGAAAAATAACCACTCTGCTATAGCAAATCATACAAATGATTGTCCCTAGTACAGCTTGACACTAGAACACTTTGACATCTACACTTAAGGAATAAGTAAACATGCATTATATTTTTTCTAAGGTAAAAAACTTGGTCCTGCTTGTAACCAAGAATTATCGACCTTCAAGGGTGTTTGTATGTCGTTGTATGTATTTTAAGTGCTTTTGCTGCAGAGGTATTAATTTCTTTATTGTTACACGTGCTTTAAACTACCGCAAAGAACTTCATGGACTAAACTATTGATTGACTGCCAGCTAGATGCTCGAGTAGCTGCTGAAGAAGAAGGGAAACGCTTGGAGGAACTACACAGAGAGGCAGAGAGGGAGAGAAGAGAGCAGCTTGAAAAGGCACATCTCAGAGGAAGTCAGGCCTTGAAGAAGGTCCATTTGGCTCAGGTGGGCAAAGTAGTTGTGTCTGGTTTTATTGTCAAAATGACCAGTGTTAAGTAAGTTGTAGACAGGTTATTAGTGGAGGAATTACAGTTGCAGGAGGAAAATTGGTGGAATAAATTCATTTTTCAGAATGTGTTTTAAAATAAATCAAACCATTTGGTCATTTTGGCTGTCTGGGAAGATGGAGAATGAAAGAACATCCTTCAATTTTTGTTACCTTTAATGTTTGGTTAGCTGTTAACCCACTGGTAATAATGAAGCTGAACTTTTTTAGTAGATGATAAGCTCTACTTTTCCACATCAGCTTTAACTGGCGTTGGTTATTATGTACTTCACGAAAAAATATTGGTTATTGTTGGTTATTATGTACAAAAAAATAGTTTATTATTAAGAAGGCAAAAGTTTCTTTTTTTTTTTTTGATAAACTTTTCAAAGTTTGTACTCAAAAGCTGAGATTCTGTTAGTGTATAGATCGGGAAATGCTGGAATTGTTTTATACTATATAGTACTGTATATTTTGTATTTATATTGTACAATTTTTCAAGTAGTAAAGACAAAACTATTAGGGAATGGTCTTTTTACCTAGAGGTATGTTCTCAAATTCTTTTTGTTGTGTGCTATCTTCAAGTATTTTTGGAGCCTAGAAATAGTAAAAGCTTCCTGTTTCTCAGTTGAGACATGATTTGCACTGAATGAGTAACCTAACTAAAATGTGGAACTATAGAAATATTACTGATGCTCCTTAAGTTAACAGAAAAAAAAAATCCAACCAAACTTCAAATAAAGCATATATATAATGATAGTGTGCCAAGAGTGTTTAGTTCACATCTTAAAAAGTAGTGATTGCTGAAGTATAAGCTAATGAAAGTAACTTGCCAAAGGAAGTACTAATTTACCTTGTAAAATAGAAGATTATGTTGAGGAAAGTCAGCCTATAGGTACAGTCTGGTCCTTTATTTAACGTCAGATCTTCTAGGTAGTATTGAGGACTCGTGTTTAAAGGTTAGATACAGCGTTCTCCTGAGGAAGCACCCTTTCCCTAGAATAAAGTTAACTTCAAACACTAAGGATTAGACAAACTTCAGAGTAACCAAGTGTGTGAAAGTATGGTACCAGTCCTGGCAGGGGCTGTCAGAACACTGAAGGTTTGTCATCCTTTCTTGTGCCCTGAAGGACAGGGAGAGGCTCCTGAGAGAACTCGAGCACATGCAGAACGCGGATCGGATGCGCAGGCGACAGGTTGTAGCACAGGTGCCACCCCAGCTTTTTGTGCCTGCCTACAAACGCCTGGAAATGAAGGAGGCATGGCAGAGAGAACTGGAGTTTGCATTTGAAGATATGTACAGTGAAGACAGGGGTAAGTAGTTTGGAGGCTTCTGAATCTGGTAGCCCAGCAGAGGCGAGGCAGCTGCAGCAGCCTGTCCCCACATGCGCAGGTAGCAAAGCTGTGTGTGTATTCCCAGTAGGCACACACACAGAACCGGGCTTTCAGTGCACATACACAGCTGGCCACACAGGCCTGCACAGCACACACAGCATTTGCACCAGACACAAAGAGCATAAGTGGCCTCATCCTGTTCACTGCTCTGGCTGCTCAGGATGAAGACCTGTTAGTGGGATATACATCTGTATGTACAATATGGATCCCTCCAGCAACTGGTCTCAGATGCTCAGTTTACCCAGTAGTTGTCTCCTGCATCCCAGGTCTCCACCAGTCACACTACAGATCCTCCAGTAACAGGTCGTAGACGCTCAGTCTACACAGTAATTCATCCAGGAGCCTGTAGCCTTCCAGTTACCTCACATGTCCACATACACACTGATATGCCCAAGTCTATGTGAGAGATCACTCAGTAAGTGGCTGTAGACACTCCCTCCTACCTAGCAGCTGTCCCTCTTTCAGTCTCCTCAGTTGCTGGCTCCCAGGCTTCCCAAGACTTGCTGCTCCACTCTAGTTGTTGCTATTCAAGACCCAGCTGGGGGTGTGAGTGTGTGCACAGACTGGACACAGGTGGCCCTGTGAGTTTTGGTCCCCACTCCAGTTGCTGTCCCTTATATGTCAATACACACACATGTACAAAGTAGAGGGTCAGGCATCAAATCTTACAAAAATAAGAAATAGAGTGGTACAGCAGCAGGGTCAGCTCAAGCTGAGTGCCTCCAGGGAGGGAGGGAGGGATGAACTCAGACAAAGAAATCCCTGCACAGTTACACCCTTACAGACTATTCACACCCTCACCACCCTTCCACTCTTCACACTCCTCAAGCACCAGTAGATTCAGTAGTGATTCTGGTTTGACATCTTGTGACTGCTTACTGAATGCCTTCACTGACTCCAGACAGGCCTTTATCTTGTGTAGTTGCAGCTGCTGTTGATGGTTGGAGCCTTGAAGCCTCCTTATCTTCTGGCTTGTTCTGGCTCTGGAGACCCCTTTTTACAGCTAGCGGCCTAAGGCTTCAGCAGATCTAGCTACTCATGCTAAGTAAAGCTAAGCAAACAGCACACTAAACTGTAACTCTTAAGTGATTCATTCTGTTTTAGTTGAGTTAAATCTGTTGTGAATAAAGCTGTTAAGACTTGAACATCTTAGGGATTTGTATGTTGAGTGTAGTCTTGCAATGTTGGTTGCTTTTTATTCAGTTGGTCATTTTACATGGTTGTTCTTCTAATTAGAAATAAAAGGAGACCTGGTTTTGCAGTTTGAGCCACAACCCTTACCAGCCCCTTCTGACAGATCTCAAGATAATGATCTCGATATCTCTTTGGAGCAAGAATCTGCTTGTGACACTCAGCCAGAATCTGTTTGTGATAGTCGGCAAGAATTGGGAGAGATGACAGAGGAGGAGGTCCCCAGCAAATCAGAAAGTAAAGCTTTTAAACTTTACATTTAACTTAAACCTTTGGGTTTTAATAGTAGAAGATACTTTTTTTTATATATTAAACTAAATATTAACTAAAGTATCATCTATACCAAAATTCCTTAATGCCTGTGAAGTATTTCAGTATCAAGTGGTTTATGATGTTTACTGTGGGTGATAATACTCTAAAGATTATGAATTTAAAAATGAAAATGTGACTTCTTTTTCTAATGTACTTCAGTTGCTTGGTATACTGACAATAATTTTTAATTGTTGCAAGAACTACACTGTTAGTAGTCATAATTATTCCTATATAATTAGTGTAAATTATGGGATAATACTGGTATGTGAACTCAAATGTTTTCATTTTCTTTTTTCAAATATATCAAAACTTTTACTACTTATGAAAGTCTACTTATTATGTGTCCTTTACATTCAAGTTTGTGATTGAGTTGCTCCATGTTGTGAGTAGGCTGCAACAGCTGTGTGTGTGTGTGTTCTCTGTGCTTGTGGCACATGCAGGATAATGTGATCTGAACGAGAAATGTGTTAGTGAACTTGACTGCTTTGCCAAGCACTTCTGCCACATCCCTTTGCTGGCACAATCTGTTTTTTGGTCTGTGATGTGTGGTGTTGCCAGTGCTGATGCAAAGGAGACGGCAGCAGCACAGAGGCAGCCGGAGGGGAGAGTGCTGCCTGTTTCTGCAACAGTGCAGCCTAGGACAAGTCTGACTGAAACACTGCAGCTAGCTTAGCCATCCTTTTAAAGCACACAGAGATAAAGCACTGCTTCTCTCTTGCAGGAAAGAGAAAATATTGTTAAGCTTTTGAAACTTGGTAATATACCTGAGCTATTTGTCCAACTGTGTAAGCATTTTAAAATAATTTTTAAAGTTTGTTTTGTTTTTATGATGTGAAATTTCACTACCCAGAACTCTGAACAGTATATATTCTTTATAGATCATGAAGAAGCAAAAACTCACCAACCCCAGTCGAAACTTGCCTTAAAGAAATTACTGAACAAAATTAGAAGCCAAAAAGAGGAGTGGACATCAAAAAGTGAGAGAGAGATTCAAAGTGAAATTGAGACTATTGAATCGGGCACAATTGCTGGTGAAGAGAGACAGTTGTGTAGTTTAGAACATGACAGTGAGCAACAGAAGACTACCATATGTGAAGCCAAAGGTACATCATACGTACTTGCATCAAATGTTATTGTGTAGGAGCAAAAAGGCTTGTAAGAATGGACTAGAACAAAACTATTTAATGACTTTTCAATGGTAGTGTTTTGTGATGTTGCCAGAAAGTACAGTTCTCCTGTATTTAACTGCAGTGTATTGTGAATTTAAAACCACAAAGGGAAGAGCTTTTGTTCTTAGGTCCAACTTGCCCATTAAGGTCTTGTGGGTAAAAGATGTCCAAAATACCTTTAACTTTTAAATGTTGTCCAAATTGTTGTCACACTTGGTGTAGCCATGCTTTGGTAGGTGGTTGCCTCCAGGATTACAATTCTCAGTACGCAATTGGGCGTTGGAGTTCTTTACCTGTTGATCTGGAAATGCGCAGGACAAGCTTGAGCTGATGTGTCTGAACTCATGGGGTGTTTTATCTGCTTCTACATACCATCTCGAAAAGTGTGTTTGTAAAACTGGAATTTGTAGCAATTAGACGTTGCATTTTGTTGGATACCCAAATAATTTTGGCTTTCCATTCCTATCTTTTGGTTGGTTAAGCTACTGCTGAAGTTGGTGAACTTGTACGCTAAGTGGGATTTCTGAAGTATTAAAGTGATTGAGTTGTGCTGGGTTTGGGTTTAGTTTGTTTCTTCTTTTTCCTTTCATACAATGCTTGTTTGTTTTTTTAAAACAATATTAATTGATTTAGTTCAGTCATGTACATGGATACACCAGTGTAAAACCTGGGGCTTGGAGAGTGCAGCAAGAGTGAAAACATGCCTCTGGGGGAAATGTTGCTGTTTGAAGCTGATGGTACAGCAGGAAGACTTATTTTTTTCTGCAATAGCCAAGTGTTGAATTGTTTCCTCAAAGAGTGCCAGGGTTAGGCCCTCTTCGTTCTGAGAGGTTAGCCTGTCTGTTTTACTCCTCAGGATGATGTTGCTATTAGGCTACCAAGTCATCTGGGTAAAAACAGTCTTGAGTCCCATGGGAGCAGGGTCATTGCTGTGTATTTGAGAAAGACACATGATAAAGGGCTGTTAAAGGCTTAAATGATACAAAAAAAAAAACCTTGATTTTCCAGCTTAGAGAGACATGCAGAGTAATGGGGTGGAGATGCAACTCTTTCAAAGAGCATTTTTTTTAGAGAGTCTGGGAAACTAATGTGTAAAGAAGATCCAAAGCTCTTTCTGGCTGCAGTTAACAATTAAATAATGTGTTTTAGACTCTGTGAAAACCTTGGAAAATACAGTTGCAGCTGAAAATTCAGTTCTGATCCATCCTCAAGAACAAGCAGCTAAAGTCAGAAGGGAAGAGGAGAGACAAAAGTGGGTGTGTATGCACTTATTCCTATCTCTGTTACAGTTACAGAAGGTTTTGATGTGCTTTGGGATATACAGCAGCTATAGATCCTTTTAATGCATTTTTAACACTTTAAATAAACTTTTACTGTAACGTTTTCTATACTTGACATCTGTGTTTTTGTTTTGTTTTTTTTTTTTTTTAAAAAGACAAAACCAGCAGATCCTCTAAAATGTGGTTACTTTCCTTAATGTTCCTGTTCTCCCACTTTGCCCCTGCCCAGGTGTATATATTGCTGTGCCCACATTAGCTGTTTGCAGGTCTAGCTTCTCCTCAGGCTGCTGTCCAGGTCATCCTTGACAGTACTTTGAAATTTTCCTTTGCTTCAATTCTAAAAGCATCTATCCTCTTGCTGCACATGGCTCTAAGTGATTGGTAGCTGGTGGGTACATGGAAGGAGAATAAATGTAAACAAACTGCTTCAGAGATTTATGGAGTGCTCTTAAAGTGGCTGTACATTAACTCAAGCCTTACAAAATGTCTGGAATTGTTAATGTTTAAATGTGGTGAACTCTTCACAAAAACATCTATAAAGTGCAAAGTAGATTTCTGAATTCAGTTTAAGAAAAGGACTTATTGCAGTCTCTGGAAAATGATAATGCATCTTGAATGGTTAGGTTCCAATTTTATCCATTCCGTTAATTTGAGAACAGACAATAGTGCAATTGTAAATGGATTCAGGGACTACTGGAAATATCTAACCAGTAAATACAAAATTATTCTTATAAACTTTGCAACTATTTTTAAAAGGCCTCTTACAATTCAGAAATGCCTGTCACAAGCAATAAAATTTCTGCTGTAAGCTGGAGCAGAGTTTTGTGTGGATGGTGTGTGTGAGGGGTCTTCGAGTTCTTCGTCATTCAGTTCTGAGATTAACTTTCATTTTTCTTCCAATAGTATGAGCAAATAGAGCAACAGAAACAAGAACAGCTGGCCTTGCTTAAACAACTTGAAGACGAGAGAGCACGTTTGGAAGCTGATTTTCTGAAGATCCAAATTCAAACCTGTTTGGAGGAGGCTAAGGAAAAAAAAGAGGAGAAAGAGCAAGGTCAGCTGGTAGAAAGCCACAGTGTTCCTTCTACAGATCAGCAGAACAAAGTGGAACATGAGGTGAATTGTAGAAGATTGTGTGTAGCCTTTAAATTATCCTTATTATAAAAGAAATCAAGAGCATCTTTTGCCAATTTAAAATAATAAATTTTTATCAAAACAGTAAATTTTTATTTCACATGATATCACTAGACATTGAATATTGGATTGTCTTTGCCTAGTCCCAGGGGCAGGATGTCTGGTTAAAGTACCTGTTAGTAAAATCTGATTAATCATATAATGATTACACATGTATCCTTTCCCCAGGAGAGGAAAAAAAAATATTAAAAAATCCTGTGGGGGGGAAGAAAGACAAAATCCCTACCTCTGTTTCTATCTCTAAATCTCAAAGAACTACTTTAAAGGGAAGGAGTTTATTGAGACTGTTGAAGGAGAGTAATTTTTTTTTTTTTAAATCTTGACTCATTTGTACCACCTGTACTCTTTTGAGAATCTGATTGCCCTGAAAGTGCATCTCCCTGTGTTTGCTGCTGGGTACCTTTACCTCTGAGCTAAGCTGCTGTGAGCAGCACTGAAGGTGTGCGCTTGGCTTGCCAGGAGAGGCTGTGGCTGTGGGACATCCAGTTTCATTGCCTCAGGCTGAAACCTCACAGGCTTGAAACGCTGGTACAGAGTGGCTTCTGGAAACTTAGGAGAAAGAACGTACAGCTTAAGATGGTTGCTTTAATTCTGTGAGTTATTTGTATATGTGCACTTAAAATTATATTATTCTGATTAGGCTGGAAATAGTACTCTGCCAGAAGCCAGGAGTCCTAGAGAGGACAGCCATTTACAGGTGATTCGTGATTATCAACAACGCCTTTTACAGCAAAACAGGTAAATTCTGGTAGGAAATGGAAGTCTGAGTTGCCTGATTCAAAATATTTTGAATTGCTTGGATTGAATTGGATGTTTATCTTTGCACTATTCTGGAAAGATTTCATGTTTTCATTCTGTTTAGGCTGCATAAACAGACCATTGAAGAAGCTAGAAAGCATCTACAGGAGTATCAGAATAAACTGAGGCAACGATACATATCTGCTTCTGCAACACCTCTGAGTTCTGTGGAAGCAAAATCATTTAATTTAAAGCCTGCCTCAGAGCCATCTCTGCAGAGGCAGGGAGTGCTCCCAGCGCCGTGCCAGCCGTGTGGGCGAGGCCAGGCACAGGAGCACGCACGGCCGCTACCCGGGCTCGCAGGAGCGCTGCGTGTGCTGGCAGAGCCATCTTCACAGAAATGTGAAGAGCAAATTCATAGTGCTTCTCCTGGCAGGCACACGCAGTTTGTAGAAGCATCGAAGTTGAAGCATGGAGAGTTTCACTTGCCGTATAGCTGTCCGTCACAGGGACAAGTGGGAATGTTGGAAAGCTCCAATAATGATGTCAGAGCACCATCTCAGTTCCAGTTACCATCACAGTTCGTCATGAGGGAGGCCACTGCAGTAAGGAAGCGACCAGAAGCACGCGTACAACGTGTTAGGTTTGTTTTGCCTACAGAAGATTCCTCAGAGCTGTCAGAACCAGTGCACTTTAAAGAGTCATCTCAGAAGATGCCTAACCATCAAACAGAGTCAGAAGGTGCAGAGGAGCCTGCACTGAAGACGCCCGTCTTGCCAGCAACAAAGGAATCTCATATAGCTCAGGCAGCCTCAGTCAATATTTTGGCACATCATCAGGGATCTGCCGAAAGCACCATCAAAACAAGCCTTGAACAACCCCTCAATCTTCCTGAACCTATGACTTTATCTCAGGAAGAATCTAAAGCCCATGATGTGGAGCAATTCCTGATACCAAAACTAGGAGATGTGTCTTTGTTAAATTATTCTGATATACTGAATTTAAGGGATAGAGTGTTGGCCTCGTCAGAAAGCATCCAAGCTCAGCAAAAGTATTTGAAAGAATTGCAAGAGCAGCTAGATGCACAAAGAGAAGCTCTTCTTGCTAGGCAGAAAATACAAGAACAACTACTATTACAGAAGCAAGATAAATTGAAAGAACAGATGCAGAGACAGCAAGAGGCTTTGAAAGAATTTCTGAGCAGGCAGGTAAGCTTTATAAATGCATTGCATAGTGAATAATCTAGTAGGTGATCAAACTTAAGAGTGAGTGTTACCAATTAGCAAAGTATCTCTTGGAGTGTTGATAATTTTAGGTGATTTACTGTAATGAAAATTTTAATTGGGACTTGTGATTTGTAATCAGAAGTTCTTTTCTGTAAGCCCCAAGAGCACCATTTTGTTCAGCCTAGCAGAAGAAATGTGAACTTCTGTGCTTGATCTCTGAGCATAATGCCTATTGAAATAGTTATGTTGTCTGAAATATCTGCAGTTTTCTTCAGCTCTAGAAATGCAGCCATATGTGTAGACAGCTCTTGTATTAAAAATACCTATGCAGTACCTCAAAGAATATCATAAGCATTTTGAATAGTTTTTTTAATGTCTTTTTATGTGTACCCATTAGAAAATTGGTTTAGCAGCTGCACTTCTCACTAGCAGTTTTGCTTGTTTCCAAAAATGCAAGTTTATTTTTGTTTCCTTTTGCCCCTCTCCCTTTTTTTCAGACAGATGCTGTCTTAGAAAAAAAAATACTACCTAGAGTCCCTGTCTCTTGTTTTTGCTGTCTCCAAACAGCTAGAATTCCTGAATTTAGAAGCTGAAAAAAAAAAACAATTCCTGAAAATTCTTTTGTTTCTGTTTAAAATGCTGTCTTCTGATCTAATCTAAGAACAGCCTTGAAAATTTAAATTGTTTTAGCACATTAGATTTGTAGAGCTAAATAAAATCCTATCTGTCCAAATGTTTTTGTAAGCTAAGCAAGTGTCCAGTATCTTGTATACTTGAACCACTTTTTCAAAGTGCTCAATATTGTCCTTCATGGACACACACACAAAAATGCTGGTTTGATAAATGAGTATAAAAATGGTCTTATATACAGTTGCTTCTCCCCTCCAGGTGAAACATATCTGCACCAATGAGGATGTGACAGAGGCACAACAGCCTGACTGGATTAGTAGGACTGACTTTTTCCAAGTCTCAGAAAACTACCAGCAAGAGAATTGTGGCAGGAGTAAATTTCATGGAAGTGAGATGATTTCACAGTGCCTTGGTCCAGCTGAGCAAACTGGTAAGGCTGTGTAGTATTTTTCCTTATAATTTTTCTCATTTTGCAGCTGAGATGGAGCTCTCTTCCATCTCCCCAAGTTAATCTGAGATACAGATATATATTGCAAAACTCAAAACTTTGTCTTACAGAACAGTCTGAGAGAGTTTTATGTAGAGAACAGAAAAGGAAATCTGCCAAGCCACCTGTGACAAAAGTCAAGTTGGGGCTTGATTTGGAACAACATGAACTTAGTGTTATACCAGAGGCAGATACACCGAAGAGTTGCAGCATTTCTTTTGCAGGTAAAGTGTGTGTGTATATATATATATGGAGATAAACTATATAATAACTGCTGCTGTTCCTCAGAAATACAGTTGGGAGGAAATTAATCTTTTCTGAAGAGTCTTTGATATGATAAATTATGAAATAATAGCTAATACTGTTGCTTTTAAGGTATAATTTATATAAGAACAAAGTGAGTTATAGTTGAAAAAAGCTTGTCCTGTCATTGTCTGTCTATAAAACCATAATCAAAATGAAATTTCACCAAGAAAAGAAAATTCACTGTAATTCTGTGACTGTAGTTCCCTGTTGATTTTTCTGTTGGCTAGGGTCTGTGTTAATAAACAATTTTAAAGAGAACCATCAGAGTTGATGGATGGTGTATATCAACTTCCCTAAGTATGTTTGTTAGAGTCTGCATGTGATGCTTTGTAAGTCTCTGTAAAGAACATTAACAGGAACAACAAACTGATGTTTTCTAAATGTAAACTTTTAGGTTTTTTTGTAAGTCTTTTCATAGCTCATACTTAATGTGTGTTTTACAGGAGTTTCAATACTGTGACAGTGTTTTTTAAGAGGGCTAAGCAGAACGATGAGAGTAACTATAGGCCCATCAAGCTGGCATTCATCTTGAGAAAACTAATGAAAGAGCTGATATGGGACATATTTCAATTAATTAATGCTAGTCATCATCAGTTTATGCAGAATGATTCTTGTTGGACCAATTTGGTATCTTGATTAGGCAACCAGATTTGTTGGTGAAGGCTTTGATTGAAGAATATATGTATATTCTCAGAAGCACTTGGCATAGTGTTACACATCTTAATAAAAAAAATCATAAAACATACCATAAAAGTTTTCTGAAATATTACCTAGTGGAATTGTAGAGTAGGGAATACTCATTTGCTATGTAATTGTGTTATGATCTACAGGTGATTTATTCCTACATTAGCTAACCATTGGTCATGGTGGTAACAAAACATTGAACTTGAGGGTTTTTTTTTGGATTGGGTGGCCAAAAAATGCTGTTTTGTAGGGTGAGTTGGGAAAAAAAAAAAAATCTTTATGCTAGAGCAGAGAAGTTATATTGCCTCCAGATTTGAAAAAATCACTGAAAGTTTTGGTGGGCTTACTGTGTAGAAAAATAAGTTTGGATTTTTTTTAAAGAAATTTTCAGCTTGGAATGAGAGTTTTGAGACCTGTATAATCTTCCCATCTGTCTTACCCATAGACTATGTGGTGCAAAGGCTTTTCCTGACCTGATCCTGCTGTCTTTAATAAAACAGGGCAGCACTGCATGAATTCAGCAGGTTATTTCTATAGACCAGAACATGCACAGTCATGTTTTTCATGAAGTGCAAACCACTGAATTTCTATACCTAAACTGATTACAAATGTTTTCAATTCAGATAGAACGGCTTCTGTTGGTGGAGAGTCTTCTCCCATTTCACACATGGGAGAGTCTGCGTATGGGAAGCATTACAGCCATGCTCTCCACGGAGAAGGCAGCTTACCTCTGAGCACAACAAACTACAAGGAGCCAATCTGTCATGGAAGTCCAAGGCAAAGGAAGCAGCCAAGTAGATTATTACAAGAGGTGCTGATGATGACTGCTGAAAATTCAAATGATTCAGGTGAGGAAATCCTCTTTCTTTGAGTTATGTGATACCGTTCAGAACAGCTAATCTTGCTCTTATTTATTTGTAGCATATGACCTGAATTAAATAACATTCAATGCTATTTAAATACTGTTTAAATTTGTGTGTAAAAAAAGTGTTTCAATGTGTCTCAGGATGGTGGGGGTTTCTTTTTGTCATTTATTTCTATCGTAGTAGCAAAAGTCCACACAGCAGTAAACTTTCTTGCTGGGCAACAGTTTCTCATCCAAAGCAGGTTTTGTGCCTGTACCTTGTAGAACTGTCCGTAAAGAAACTTTTATACTTCCTGATTGCCCTTCCCTTACCAGGAGAATCCTATGCATGCATAGAGAGCAAACTGCTGTAGAAAGCTGCAGGTGTCTCTTCCTCCTGAGGGAGGTACCTTCTGCCCAGACTGTGCAGTGTTCAGGTTTGAAGCTTTACCAGATGGGACCTGGTTTGAGCAGACCAGTGGTGTGCCTGATTAAGTACCCCATGAATCCTTGTACTGACACAAAGGAAATTAATCCTTAAAAAGAAACCTGGAGTGTTGTCATGCTAATGAAGATGTCCACTGAAAGATCAGTGTGGATAAGAAATTGCTTAAAAATACAGCTGAGACAGAAAAAAAAAAAAAGGCTGAGTGTTATCCTTGGCTCAAAGAAACAACTTTGAAGACTCAGCTTTTAGTTATGACAGAAATAAAAGTAGTGCAATAAGGTAAGGGTTACTTTAATTTTGATCTTCTCTGTTCATCTGTGAAGACCTTTTATTAGAGATCACACATGTGAGGATGGACTGTGTCCATATTTGACAAATTGTGATTCCATAAATGAAAAAAAAGGTGTTTTCACTACCAAAAAAAGTAGTGTTTTTTGTTACAAAGTGATTTGTGTATGTTCAAAATAATTTTGTTGCAAGGTTATTGAAATCTTAGTAGCTTGTTCTGGGTAGTTTGACTGGCTTATATAAGGGTAAAGGTGACTAGCCTTAGGTAAACAGAAAAGGTGGACTACTAAGACATTTTTTGAGAGATTGGACTAACAATTGGATGCCATTGTCTCCCATAACATCCTCATAGGTAAGCTCAAGAAGTGTGAGTGGACAGGGAGATGGCTGGAGAACTGGCTGAATGACAGGCTCAGAGGGTTGTGATCAGCAGCACCGAGTCTGTAGCTAGTGGTGTTCCCCAGGGGTCAGTACTGGAGATCCAGTCTTGTTCAACATCTTCAGCAGCGACCTGGGTGAAGGGATGGAGTGTACCCTCAGCACGTTTGCTGGTGATGCAAAACCAGGAGAGGTGGCTGACACACTGTAAGGCTGTGCTGCCATTCATAGAGACCTGGACAGACTGGAGAGCTGGGCAGAGGGGAACTTAATGAAATGCAACAAGGACAAGTGTGGAGTCCTGCACCTGGGGTGGAATAACCCCATGCACCACTACAGGCTAGGGGCTGACCTGCTGGAAAGCAGCTCTGTGGAGAAGGACCAGGGTGTCCTGATGGACAAGGTAGCCATGAGCCAGTAGTGTGCTCTTGTAGCCAGGAAGGCCAATGGTATTCCAGGGTGCATTAAGAGGAATGTGACCAGCAGGTTGAGGAAGGTTCTCCTTCCCCTCTGCTCTGCCCTGGTGAGGCCACATCTGGAGTACTGTGTCCAGTTCTGGGCTTCCCAGTTCAAGAGGGACAAGGAACTACTGAACAGAGTCCAGCAGAGGCTATGAAGATCATGAGAGGACTGGAGCATTCCTCTGATGAGAAAAGGCTGAGAGCCCTGGGGCTGTTTAGCCTGGAGAAGAGAAGGCTGAAAGGGGATCTTATCAATGCTTATAAAGGGTGTATGTCACGAAGATGGGGTCAATCTATTTTCAGTGGTGCCCAGAGATAGGACAAGGGGCAATGGACACAGACCAGAACACAGGAAGTTCCACATCAGCATAATGAGAAACTTCTTTCCTGTGAGGGTAATGGAGCCCGGGAACAGGCTGCCCAGAGAGGGTGTGGAGTCTCCTTCTCTGGAGACTTTGAAAACCTGCCTGGACATGTTCCTGGGCAACTTGTTCTAGGTGAACCTGCTTTAGTAGTGCTTTAGGATGGTCTAGATGATCTCCAACCGCTACCATTCTGGGATTCTGTCAAGGGTTTCAATTTCTGCTGGTCTTCCCTGCACTTGCACACTTAGCTTGTCTGTCCAGGGTTGAAATGAGGTCAGCTGAAGGGCTCCAGTACGTGCAGGTGGAAGTGCTCGCTTCCTTCAGATTTTGGGCAGTTTGGAAGGCGGTTTGTCGTCGCTGGGGCTGAGCAGTGCTGGGCTGACCTGCTGGGGACTAGGGCACATGCTTTGTGAAGCACTGACTAAAGCACTTCCAACCTTATTACCAGATGACAGCATCTCGTGGTCCAGTCCAGTTTTCAGTATCCACCTACAATCACTTACTAGAGCTGTAAAGGAATTTTCAGCAACTTTGCTACCTTACATGTACATCTTCATGAGCAGTACAGCTCTGTAGTATGCACCGCCTGCTGATACTAGAAATGTCACCACTGCCTCAAACCTTAAGATGACGTTTCATTTACTTTATGTTGAGACAGCCTTTTTAATTCAATCAGGATTACTAGGAATTGGAACTTGGTTTGACTAAGTACATATAAGCTAATTTTCTTTCAGCTGCTTCCTTTAATTATCAGAATACTCTTTCTGAAACATATTTGTATTTAAACAAATTATCACCAAAGAATTTTGTCCTTTTTAAGAATATTTGAAGAAAAGGCTTGTACTTTTTCTGAGTAGGTTGTAGAAGCATTGCTAGATCAGCCATTACCAAATATGAAATATCTTAGTGCAGTGTCTTTTTACATTTGTGACTATTATATATGAACAGTGCAATGGTTTATGTAAGAGGATTAGAAAATTTCATATGAACATCCATATATATTAAAAAAAAACCCAAGGCTTTCTGTGATTATGTATTTAAGAGGATTGTCCTCTTGAACAGTTTAACTACCAAAACTGTCAACAGTACCTGTATAATGTGAAGGCTGTGAAGCACTTTGATACTTTTAGTAACCACTGCTGTATCTTCAGCAAGATAATCTGCAGTCCATGTTAAATATAAAATTTCTGAAGGAGGATACTTGAAATGTATTTTAAGTTGTTACTTACAATTCGTAGCTTTGATTTCTTTATTTTTTTTCCAAAAAATTGATTCCAAACAGAACATAATTGCAATTTTCCCATGTTGTCAAGATGCAGTTTTATCTCCAAAGGTGAGAGCAAATAAATGCTTTGCACATGTGATCTTGGACCTTATTCTTTGCAGTTATGTTCCTTGTGGTTTCTACCTTGGATCAAATAATGTAAAGTTTTACAACGTCAGAGTTGTACTGCTTTTGTGTTTTCAGAACCACTAGATGTGCACAGATCCTATTAATCACTGTTGACATGCTTTTTCAAAATAAAACATTAAAGATAAAATGGTAAATGTTATGTAGGTTTTTAAAAAGATAAACTTGGTAAATCCGCTTGGATGCTTATCAACAAAGGTGAGTTTCCTTTAGTAGACTTGCCCTTGGCTAACAGGCAAATTTTTTTATTTCTATAATTAGTTGCCTTTCTCTATTTATAAGAAGAAAAATAACTTTGTCCCCCTCAAACTTGGAGGCAGACATATCTGAATGTAAAATGGGACTTAAAGACAGCTTTAGGTTGAGGGAGGATGAATCCTGTGCTCATAATTGAGTGGTTTCAAGTGCTATGGAGGCTGGTCAGCTGGGTGGCAGCCAGAGAGGGCAGGTAAGTGTTACACTGATGGTGCAATAAGTGCTTCCAGTGGGACTAGGATTTGGATTGCTCTCCCTTGCCACGTCACTGATGTTTGACAAGCTGAGTTAGGAACTTTGGACAATTGACATTTCTTCTTCCCAATCCAGTTTGGTTAAAAGGGGCTAACAGTATGAAAATTGTTCATATGGGGGTGCAGAGTAGCCTTGCAGATGAGGAGGGCAGTTTGATGGCATAAACCTTATTTCTTTAGGCAGTCACCCTGAAAATAGGGACTAGATTGGATACGTACATCTCTTTCACAGTTCTCCTTCATTACATATCAACAAGCTTGACACACCTTCATCTTGTACACCAGCAGTCCCCTTGAGCAATGTCCCAGATGTGGTTATACTCATGTATTGCTACCTGATACAGAGATGTTATTCCAAGCATGATTATGTTTTGTCATCTAAGCTAAAGTAAGACTTCAATTTATTCTTAACAATCTCAAATATTTGCCCATAATTCATTTTTGTGACAGATTGCCTTATCCATCGCCAGTTTAGCGAACTAGCATGGAGTACAACTTTTGGTCTTGTATGTCTGCATGGTTGGATTTGGACTAATCCCTGTTTTTATACTGTCTTCACCAAGTGTTTTGTTGGTAAATGTTTTTTTCCTTCAAAAATAATTGCTGCTATTTATTTTACTGCAGTTTGTGTTGGGGGGGAAAAAAATTCATTCTAGGCATTACAGACCTAGTTTTTAAATACAAATTCTTTGTCATGTTGACGTGGCCAGGAGGTTAAAACATGGAAGTCCCATGTTGATGTTGGGAGGCTGTGAGGAACAAGAATCTTCCACTGTTATTTTGGAGAGAGGAGAGAAGAACAAAAACCTATCTTTTATGAGTCACCCAGTACAGTTTTTTTAAAGATATTAATGTAATAAAGTCATGAGATATGAGCATGTTGTATTTTTAATTAAATAATTTGGTTTATAGCATGAAACTGCTATTGTTCATCCCTTTTATTAATTTCATAAGAACAATGCACGTTATTACAGTACAGTAATGAAAAATTTGTAGCATAGCTCTCCAAAGAATTTATATACAAGAGAGTATTAAGTGCTTGAATCTCATATGTATCCTAAATTACTACCTGTCATGCTGCTATCCTTTAGAAAATAAAAAATAATTTCTTTCAGAAAAATAACTAATCTTGACATAATGGTGTCAGGAAATGGAGAATTCTTTGGTAGCTTGTTCCAGTATTTAATTTTTATCAAATTATAAAATAAATGGTCTGTTTCTAGTTTCTGAATGTCTGACAGCCATTCCTAGCTACTGCTAGTTAGCTACTGTGCTAAGCTTGTTGTTACCTTCTTTGAGTTGAGAAATCTTTTGCACTGTGCTTTTCTTCTCCTCTGGAGATAGAATCATAGAATTGTTTGGGTTGGAGAAGACCTTTACGCTCATTGAGTCCAGCCATTCACCTAACAGTACCACATCCACCGCTAAACCATGTCCCTAAGCACTTCCTCTACATGTCTTCCAATACCTCCAGGGATGGTGACTCCACCAACTCCCTGGGCAGCTTGTTCCAATGGTTGACAACCCTTTCTATGAAGAGTTTTTCTTAATGTCCAATCTAAACCTCACCTGGCACAACTTGTGGCCATTTCTTCTTGTCCTAGGTCTTGTTATTTGGGAAAACAGACCCACATCCACCTCACTCAAACCTCCTCTCAGGTAGTTGTTGAGAGCAAGATCTCCCCTGAGCCTCCGTTTTCTTCAGGCTAAACAACCCCAGTTTCCTCAGCTTCTCCTCATAAGACTTGCTTTCTAGACCCTTCATCAGCTTGGTTGCCCTGCTTTAGACATGGTTCAGCATCTCAGTGTCTTTCTTGTGAGGGTCCCACAGTTAAACACAGTACTCGAGGTGTACCCTCACCCATCCAAACCATAAGCAGCCACATTCATGCTGTGGGAAACAGTATCAAAGGCTTTAATAAAGTCCAGGTGGACAACACAGCCTTTCTTTCCATCATCCACTAAGACTGTCATAGAAGATCAGGTTAGTCAAGCAGGACCTGCCTTTCATAAACCCATGCTGACTGCGCCTGAACCCTGGTTTGTCCTGTATGTGTCTCATGATGTCACTTAAGATGATCTGCTCCATAACCTTCCCTGGCACTGAGGTCAGACTGACTGTCCTACACGTCCTCGGATCCTCTTTCCAACCTTTCTTGTAGATGGGTGTCACATTTGCTAACCCTCAGTCAACTGGGACTTCCCTGATGAGCCAGGACTGCTGATAAATGATGTAAAATAGACTATTAAAACACCAGTTTGGTGAGAGCTTCTTCAGTTTTCTCTGTACCCTTGGGTAGATCTCATCCGGCCTCATAGACTTGTATGTATCTAAGTGGAGGAGTAGGTCCCACACCACTTCCCTTTGGATTATGGGGGCTTCATTCTGCTCCCCAAACCTGTCTTACAGCTCAGGGCACTAGGTACCTGGAGAACAACTGGTCTTGCTACTGAAGACTGAGGCAAAGAAGATAATTTCAGCCTTTTCTTCATCCTTAGTTACTCTGTTTTCCTCTTGCATCAAATAAAGGATGGAGACCTTCCTTAGCCCTCTTCTTGTTGCTGATGTATTTAAAGAAACATTTTCTATTGCCTTTTATAGTGGCCAAATTAAGTTCTAATTGGGCTTTGGGCCTTCTAATTCCTAAAGGTCCTAAACTTTTTTTTTTTTTCACTGAGCTCCAGCGCAAGCTCCCTGTTAAATAGGAAAAACTGGTGCTGTGACTTGGATATTTAAATACTGAGAGCTGATGCCTATTCAGGGAATTTTCTTCAAGGCCTTGCTCATTTTCCAAGTCCTCTTGTCTTCTATATTCTGTTTCAGAGAAGGGGAGCAGACTTCTGCAGTTTATGTAGACTCAGTCACAGTGCTACCACATCCAGCCCAAGGAGCTTGTTGCCACCTTGTTCTACTCAAACCTTCGAACTTATTGTTCCTGTGAGCCTGAAGACCTTTGGCACATACTTGTAGAAGAGGGACCACAAAGCAGTGTTCTGTGCTCCTAGATTTCAAATTTTATGTATATTGAAACAGTGTTGTTTAACAGGCACAGCTTTGCAGGAAATTGAGGTAATTTTTACCATTACAGTGCTACTGCATTTCTTGACTCGTTTCACTCTTTGTATTGTTTACAAATTCTGTTGCCAGGAGCTCTGTTCAGTAACTGATCAAAATGTCATAAATGATCAGGATCAAGTATTTAGAAGTTTCTGGAGAATCTGTGATTGGGGGGGGAGAAAAATTTGAGATTTCCTTTACTATTTTGAGATCAATCAGTTAGCATTTAATGTAATCACACAGTAAATTAAGAGTAGGTTAAATTCTCTTTTAATCCAAAGAAATATATTTTAGATGTATGTCCTTCAATGTTTTGTTCTTCTTTCTAGAAGACTGCAGGATGACAGTGGCTTAAGAAACCTTATTTTTTGGGTTTTTTTTTCTCTGTAATGAGTTTGGCAATGTTTCATATTGATTGATACATAAGTATCACATCATATAGATGCTTCACTGATGTTGCCTCACAGACAAAAACTCCCCTCCCTTTTTTCGTATAGTAGGAAAAATAGAGATAATAGAACAGCTAGACTCTGCCTCCCAGTGAGAAATTGAGTTTCAGCTTCTGCAAGGTACAAACTAGTGTGTTCACAAAACGTTACGAGATCTGCCAAAGTACAGAACCGTATTAATGCTGGGGATTTGAAATGTCTTTGTTACTAGCAGCCCCTGTGGAACTGGGAATAAACATACCTACTTCACTTCTGCTGTTTCACTACAATTCAATATTTAGCACTTCTTTCTTTAAAATAAGTATTCTTATTTCCAGTAATAGTTTTTAAGCTGTTTGTTGGCAATTAATTTACAATCTTAGGATTGTCAAACTTCAAAGGTACTTGTCAGCACTGAATACAGAAATTGCATTTTTTTAGTGCTGCTGTGGTGGTGCTTTTGCACGGATACTGATCTTGACTATTTTTATGTGCAAGAGCATTATGGCAAAGGTGACTCAGTCCTGTGGTTGTAGTCATGCTGTAGTTAAGTAATTCAATGTTTCTGATTTCTCTGATCTACTTAAAATGTCTGGTTTTCTTTGTAATTGTTGTAATGGTAGAGGATAAAAGATTCCCCCACCTCAGTTAAATGGCGGTAGTAGCACAAGCAAAGCCACATTTTGTTCTGCAAAGCCAAAGCACGAATTCCAAGCTCTTCCTGCATGCTCTGCAGGGATCAGTCATGCTAATTAGGGAGTTTTGGGAAGGCTGGTCAAGGAGAACAACTGGTTGCCAATTAAATCGGTGGTCCAGTGGAGGAGAAAGTATGCTGTAGGTGAGAAGAAAGTGGTAAGTGTGGGCAAACCCAGTGCCCCAGTAGTGAGGGCAGCAGCAGTAGAGCGTTACTGCCATCTGGTGTTCAGCCACAACTGCTGACCATGAACCTGAAAGTTCCATTCTATTCCTTATTGCTTCTGTTACATTTGTTTTCAGCTGGGTCCCAGGATTCTCAGGTGGCTCGAGGTTCACCAGTTGTTGCTGCTGACGTTGGAGAGGGAGGTACAACACATCCTGGACCATTGTTCAGGCTCGATAATATGGTCAGTCATATCCAAATAACTTTTTATTTTGTGATGAAATCTTTCTGTCACGTTCTGGGGCGGCTCAGACTGGGTGCAGCATTCTAGAGGTGGCTGTATAATAATCACCAAGTGAAGAGAGGTAACCAGTCTCTGCCATGGAGCTTCTGGCTGCGTTCCTGTTCGTACAGTGCCGGATGCTGTTGCCCCCTGTTGCTGTCAGAGCATGCTGTGGACTCATGCTCAGCTCACTGGCTGTGAGAGCCCTGGGTCCTTTTCCACAGGGCTGCTTCCCAGGCAGGCCTCAGCTTGGACTGACACATGGGCTCCTTCCTTCCCAGGTGCTGTCCCATTTGCTCTTGCTGAGTTTCCTAAGATTCCTGTAGGGCCAGCCTCGCAAGGTCCTCCTAGATGTGAGCCCTGCCATTTAGTGTACTGGATGGTCCTCCCAACTTAGTGATAGCTGCAAACTTGATAAAAGTATGACATGCCTCCTCTGGGTCATTGCCAAAGGTGTTACAGAGGACAGAGCCCTGTGGCACTCCACCTCCTCTAATCACTGCCCTCTGAACCTGATTATCCAGCCAGTGTTTTACCCATCTCATCATCTGTCCATCCAGGTGGACAGACACTCAAGGGGGGATCAAACAATGTTGTGAGAGACAGCATCAAAGCCTTGCCAAAATCAACACAAATAATATGCCTGCTTTTCAGTCACCAAAAGATCTCATAATTTTGTCCGGAGATGAAAACAGTATTTTAAAAATGCTATGTATAACTTGTGTATCTAAAATCACTTTTAAAAGTAAATTTTGTATGTATATGATAAATATATTTGCATAAGGTGTATATAATGAAAAATATAGGGGCAGGCTTTCATAGATTTTTCTAGTCTTATTTTCTTAGTGTACATTCTAATGTAGAATTTGGGAAGAATTGTTCACATCAAATTCTTCAAAATTTAGAAGTACAAGAACCCTCGTTCTCTGCTTTGTGACTTCGTAGAGCATGTCTCAAAAATAAGATATTTTAGGATATTTTTAGTTCAATTTCACATAATTACATTTTTAAGTCAATCTCCTGTATGTAGAAGGCTCAGTATTGCAAATAATTGTAAAGTTCCTGAGTTTTTCGTGTGTTGCATTTATATTCCTCTGAGATCTACTGTTCTACTGAAGTGGGTCTGTGATGAGAAATAGCCAAATCTGACCACCAGAAGATAAAATAATCTTCCAGGTGTCATGATTTAAATGCCGTTCTGAGAGGCTTTATAACTGTGTGTCTGTGTGTGTGTGTCTGTGTGTTTGTGTTGGGGGGCTGCTGTTGGGGAGTCTGTGTCTGTGCAATGGGGTGTGAATGTTTTGGACTGAGCTGTGATGAATCTGTGTTTGCCTGACTGTGAAAAACATGAAGGCTTCTACACTTGAACTGAGCTCAGAATAAAATGTGTGTGGTTTTAAAGCTTTAGCTGTGGACATCTGGATGCCTGGTAATAGATGTGTTATTCCATCCTAGGCAGTACTTTCTAAAGCAGTACACACAAACGTAGGTGCAGGGGCTTTCATGCAAGGAATACCCCTTGACTCATCTCCAACAATTTCCACGGGAAGCCTATTGACTAGTGAAACGTTGGATGTAAGCCCTGTTGACACTGGTAAGTGTTTGGGGTTTTGTTGGTTTTCTTGTAACAGGAAAATTGTCTATTCTCTTCTATTTTGTAGCAGAATGGGTATAGCTCGCTGGATGTAAGCTCTGAAATAAGCTAGTGTGGAACTTCACTTCAGAATTATTAATGTGTCTTACAGGGTTGAGTGTAACTCAGCAAGCTAACTGAGTTTTGTTGTGTGCTTATGATTTTTTTTTTTTAATTTCATAATAATTTAGTCTCACAACACATCTGCTTTGGCAAAGAGTGTTTTGAGTTCTTCTGAGCAACTGTAACACTAGCAGTTTTGAAGTGGCAAAATTAACAAAAAATATATCTGAAAATAATAGTGATAAATGGTTTCTAATCAATGTATTTCATAGATTGTTACAGGGCTATGATTATTGTCTTGTTGCTAAGACAATTGTTCCAGTATCTGCGTGTCGCTATGGTAGTAACTTATTTGTGAACGTGTCATTTGAATGCCATACTGACTTTTCATAGTTTTGTGGGAAATACATGTTTATATCCTTTTTTGTTCTGTCTGCCTCTTGATCTTGTTAACTCTTCATAAAATTAAAAAGAGTTGCTTTACAATAAATATCAAGTTGCTTTTATATACTGACATTAGCACTTGGTAAATGTGGGATGTGAGTTGGAAAGTGGTTTAATAGCAACTTGTGCATTTTTTTATTTCAGGGCTTAGTATTTTGTTAATCTGACATATATCTGATCTCATAAACAACTATATGTGCATGTGAGGTGTTCCATGTTTACAAATCAATTTAAGACTATAGTTTTTACAGCCTTAGATATCACTGGCTCGTTTCAACCCTAATGTTCTAAATTGGTAAGTGTTCTGAGTAATAAACTTCATAACTCATGTGATGAGTCTGTGTTTTATTGGCATAAGAAAGCTAAAGCAAATTCTAGGTTTAGGGGTTTGGGGTTTTTTAGCTTTTCTATTGTTTTTTAGTAGTGGAAGAAAATACCAAAAGGTTGTGATTGAATAAATTTTCCAAGTCTAGCAGTTTCTTTGCTGTACGCCCAGTGCTTAATAATTACCTTTTCTGATAGCTCCGTGCAATTCTTCTGTAACATATAGACAGAGGGGTTGATGCACTAACTAGGAACATGATTTTGGTTGCCTCGGTTTACTCAGATTTCTTGTTGCTATGGGGCAATTCCTATTTAAGCACGAATAAAACTACTGCACAATGTCATAAAGATACTCCAGATCACATTAAAGGGTTGACATGTTTAGATGTGACAGGGGGTAAAAACATGGTAGCTAGCATAAGAGAACAGTATTCATTCTTTTCTGATTTTATTGCTTCAGTATTTCCTATGTCTACATACTCTAAAAGTGCTAAGCTGTACTGATTACTACCGAGCTAGATATTATCAACTTGGATTTGTGGAAGTTTGTGGGCGTGTTGACATGAGACAAAGAAACAAAATCCCAGAGTATGAATATTTCAGGATATTAAGTATTGTCACTTCAGAAGTCTTCATGTAAACGTTTTATATGCAAAACTGTGAACATCTAGCTTACTCTTTCAGGACTGTCTTCTGACAGTACAGAAGATCAGATTTTGAGAGAAAGAGCAAGCCGTGCTTGGAACTCCCCCCTGCCTTTTGCCTTGCAGCCGAGGCAAGAGAATTTATCTGGTGCATTTGAAATTCAGCTGCCTGAAGGGCAGATGTGCCTTCCTAAAAGAAGTCAGGTGCAGCAGATCTTGAGGAAATGTACTGAAGACTCGAGCTCTTACTCGGAGGACAACACACCTTTCCAAGGTATTTGCCATTTTAAAGCCATTTTGTGCTGTGCTTTCACACAGAATGAGGAGCAGTTTGCTCAGTGTTGTGTGTTAGTCTGTGTTATATACAGCTTACACAGTCTGGTCAGGTGTCCATCTACCTGATCATAGCCTAGTTCTGTGCAGCTTCCTGCTACCACGGCTAGGCTGTCATCTGTGCCAGTTTTATTCCTTGCTGATGCACAACTTTCCCTTCAGGAAGGCAGAGACAATAATGCAGTACTTTATTACTCATGCAGGGTCACAGAGTTGATGAAATGCTGGTTACCGGACTGGTGGGAGTTCTGTGCTCTCTACAAAAATGTAACAACCGTGAAAATAAGAACATGGTTTTTAGCTATCGTTAAGATAATGCCACTATTTTAATTTGAGCAGCTTCCTCCTGAAATGTTTGGAAACCTAGGAATTTAGGTTGAGCTAAACTAGGAAGAACTTCTAGATATGTGATTCAAATTTTCCTTCCCACTCACAGCAGAGCAAATTTAGACAAGGTTGCTTAAGGACTTGTCTGGGCAAGTTCTGAGTATCTCCAAAGGCAGAGTTTCCAAACCCTCCTGGGCAACGTTTTGACAACTTCCTTCTTTCCCACTACCCTCTCCCTTCCAACCAGAATTTCCTGTGTTTCATCTTGTGTCCATTATCTGTCTTTCACTGAGCATGTTCAGGAAGCCTGACTGCATCTTCTCTATACTATCTCCTAAGATGTAGTGGACAGCAAAGACTCCTGTGCCACTTCCCTCACACCCTCAATCCTTTTCTGAAGATTGAATAAACTCAGGTTTTTAGCCTCTCTTTGAACATCATGTTCTTTGTGCTTCCTTTAATTATCCTTGTGGCTCTTCACTGTGTCATTGTGTGTTTTGTACTGGGAAGCCCACACTACTTCTGATGCAGTCTCAGTCTCACAGGTGCTGAACAGAGAGTTTATGGGCTTCAGCTTTTCACTTAAAAAACTTGCATCCGTGTAGCGCTTTCTTGCTGCTTTTTGTACCTGCATTGTATCAGCGTGAAACACTTGGGTGCTGTAAAGATATCTTTTCTTACAAGCTAGTATTTGTGTACATGCAAAATTCCATATGCTTTATTTACTGTATATAAAAACAGGGTGGGAGGTTGGTTTGAGAGGGTTTTTTTTGTTTTGTTTTTAAAATAATCTCTTCTTATAGCTCTAGAAGCTGAATTTGATTTTCCTGAAGTGGAGAGACATTTTCCGAACATCCATCACCAGTTCTTTCAACCTTTGGAGCCAAGTCTTGACTCTGATACTTCATCATCCTGTTCTCAATACAGAATTTCACAGGACAGTGAAGAACTTACCAAGGTACTACAGAAAAACCGAGAAAGGAAATACTTTGCCTTAAGTTTTCTGTAAGATTTAAATGTATAATCCTTATACTGTCTTCTCTTTAGAGGAAACACAATAATAGTTTTTTATAGAAGTGGAAGAGTTTTTGTGGTTGTAGCAGAAATGATCCAAAAATCAAATATTACCTGGAATATTTTATCGTTTGTATTTCTGAGAAAAATTAATCTTAAGTTTGTGTTTTTTTCCTGCCACCAGACTTCAAAATTGTCAATGAAGAGTCAAGACATTCCTATGTTTCTAGAAGTAGGAACCTCCAGTTTGAATATGCAGAGCAGCACTCTGCCTTCCAGTCCAGGAACAACCCAACCACACGACGTGATGTCAGAAGACCCTGCTAAAGAAACTGTTACTGCAGGTACGTACAGTGCAGTCAGATCAGTGTCTTCAGAACCAACCTACTGCCAGTATGACAGTACCAACAGGTAAGGTGGGTTTGCTCCATTGATACTGGGAAGGAACTCTTCACTTCCATCAGCCCTGCTTTGAAAGGGCTTAACTCTCCTGCTGTTCTATCGCACCCTGTCTTCACCACCTGCCATGGGTAGGACTCCTAGATTTTGTCAAGTTCTATACTTCCCCAGCAGTTATGACTTCAATATAAAAGCAGACCTACATATTCAAGTCACTGTAATGGATATTATGTTACTTATCACTTGTGCAGTAATTGTGATGTTGGTGAAGAAATACCAACTCCAGCTGAAACTGTCAGTTTAAGTACTTTTCCAAATATTTTTTTCCATGCATATCCATAGTTTTAGAAGTTTGATGAAATTAAGGGAGTTCCATAAATTGATTAATTTTTTTTTTTTGAGGTGTGTTAGAAACTCTTTGATCTTAGTAATTTTTCTTTTTATACATTGTGTCCTTCAGGAAACCACTTAATTTTCCTTTTCCACTGTTAAGTCACAGCAGTAGTCATTATGTGTTGCATGCAGCAGTACTTGGTCTGTTTACAGAATTGCTTTATCTACCTACAAAATAAAAGGGAGGGGGGGAGAGAGGAAGAAATAAATTTTTAGATTACAATATAGTAATTAATTTAGTAGGTTACAAGGTTATGATTCTACAGCAGCATTAAGTTAACTGTAGCTCATAGCAGGAAGAGTATTTTTTGTTTTACAGCTGGATTCAAATTAACTTGATATTTCATGTCTTCTGAAGAAAAGGACCAGTCTGAAATTTCAAAGGCAGCTAATAGTAATGTAAATATTTCTGAAGCTCTTATTTACCAAGTATCAGGTGTTTCAATGTTTTTAAGGTGCTCCAGCAGAAAGCTGAACAGCAACGGGAAACGCAGAACAGTATTTTAAGTAATGGGTGTATTTATAATGTTCCTGGTCAATTATGTTATTTGTTCATATATACATACAGTTTTTGGAAACACACTATTTGTGTTTAAAGCTGCAAGATGTTATTCTGTGTCTGTTACGTTTTTCTTTCTCTTCATCTGGCAGATGCTATTATTGAAAAAAAATCATATAATCTATTGACTTTCAGGGTAGTTTGTCAGCACTGTCACAAAGTCTGTCCCTAAACAGACTCAAAAAAAAGTCTTGTTTCTTAAAGTTGTTTTGTGTACAGCGAAGGCATCATTTTATGTAACGTTAATGGTATTAAGTGGAAATTCTGTTGTGTTAGCTAGAATTTTGACTCTTGATCTTTTTTGAAGCAGGATCTGAAGAATCTTTTCACTCACTGCAATTCGAATCTACTCGGAGCAATCACTGCCAGAGTGCTGCACCACCAGTGGACCTCAGTGCTCCGTTACAGAGATCTTTTGACCAAACTGGCAGCAAAAAATGGGGCAATGAGAATTGTAATTCATCTGCCAGAGAATACGAAGAACTGGCAAGAAATGTGGAATGTATTAATCTCCAGTGTTCGGTGGAAGAGCAGCGAAATGAAAGTCTGAATTCACTGGAAAAGCAAAAGTCATTTTATCAGCTAAATAACACACCAGTTACCGTGGATGAAACTTTCCCTCATTACTTACTGAAAGAGACCGTGTCTTATGAAAAATTACCTGTGGAAGCATTTGATAAGAAGTATGTGAAGCTTCCTGAAAAATCAGTTCATGTACATAAAGCAAATAAAGCTGCAGAGCTGGATTCTCAGTGCAATACAAATATAAAGGAGTCAGACCAGAGCTTCCCAGGACTACAAAAATCTTTGAGGAATCCCAGAGAAACCGTCTTGGAAGACTCAGACATCCATTTACAGGCTGTCGTACAACAGAATGGTTCTTCCCTGGAAAGACGTGAAGAACGTTCTAATTCTGTGCCCAGAAGCTCATGTCGTATTCCAGTCTGGGTGAGTAAACCAGATTTCCAAAAGCAGTCATCTGAGCAGTCTTCTTGGTGAGGTTTGTTGTGTTGGGTTTTTTTGGTTTATTTTTGGTATTTCACCAAGTTATTTTTGACCTTTAAGATCTGAAAGCTTGGCAAATGTTGACTTTTACAATTCAAGACTTTAATTTTTCCTGGACTTGTGCCCTACTTCTTCTTTCTGATCATAGCACTGAAATAATTTTCTGCAGCTGAAAGGAGCTTTAGCTCCCGTGGCTGTTGGAGGAGCTGTGGTGTCTCAGCACCAGCTGGTGCAGCCGTACTCCGTGGCACAGCTCCCTAACTGAGCAGCTCCTGTCCCCTGCTAGAAGCCTGAAGGAGGTGAATGATTTAGCCAAAGCCTAAGCACACTTAAGGAAGTATCTTTGAGTGGAGGAGAAAAAAAATTGCCTTGGAACTAAGTAATTTAAACTTAAGGAGAGGTGGAGGTTTTGTTGTTGTGTGGTGGCTTTGTGTTATTTGGGGTTTCTAAACACTGATATATAAAATACTTGGGATTGGACTTAAGGCCCAGAATTTGCATTACGAAAACCTGAGGCAAAGTGCTCTGTCTGTATTTCATTTGTTGCCTGGGGGCAGGTTTTCTTTCTTCTACATGTTGAATGAGACGCCTTTTTCTGTAACAGTAACAGCTCTTGCTATTGCTGGAAATATTTTTTTTTTTTTAATTATTATTTTTTGCACCAATTTTTGGTATTGTTTATTTTCTAGGAGACTGAGTCAGGGCGTGGTATTATGGAAGAACCTGAACTCACCCTGATAAGCTCAAATGATGTCAGTATTGCAGAATCAGACAGTGGACGTGCTAACCAAGAGAAAATTAAGGAGAATAAAATCAATACCCCAGCATGTGTGGATGAGTCTGCATCTGATGTTTTTACTGAGGTAATGCTGATTTTCACGTAAGCCTGAGTCCTGTGAAGGAGAGGCCCCGCTGTAGCTGTTAATCCACTGTCGCAGAATGAGAGAATGTCACGGTCATCTGAGCTTAGTCATTACTTGGATTGTCTTGATGTTATGTTTCCCAAACAGATCTAATAGACTTTAAATTTGGGAGGTTCCTTGAAATCACTGCCTTGTCATATCAATGTAGAGAGGGTTTGGGAAGGCTTTTGCTGAGAAACGGAACCATCTCGCTGCTGTTGGCGAGACTAAATTGCATCCCATTAAGATGAAGATTTCAGCCAGAGGATAGGACAAAACAAAAGCTACAAACTAAAGAAAAAAAAAAAAACATCCCTTCCCTAGTGGAGGGAGCTACCCCAGCCCCACAGCAGCGTGGGGTCTGTGGGGAGGATACAGCCAGCCTGTCGTACTGCCGTGCCCCAGCTGCCTGCAGTGCACCTCTTGCTCTTGGCTTGCGTACAGCAAAGGCCACAGAGGGACGGGGCTGTGATGAGAGGATAGCTTGGGTGCTCAGGCAGTAACACTGAACCAAGTCGTGTGTGCCTGTTGGACTAATAATCAGATGAAGTCATACTAAAATGATCCTAACAGTGCGTAAGAACGGGTCTATATAAAGTAACTGAAATGTAGGTGAGGTGGAGGGTGGCAGCTGGAGGCTGCACACCTGCAGTGGGTGTTACCCTCCAGCCGAGAACAGGGAAAGGAGACAGAGCAGTGAGAGAGGGGTGAACTGGAGAGAACAAGAGGGTAGAAAAACACATCTGTTGAGATCAAATTATGCAGCCCTATATTAAGAATGAACCCTCGAAATCTGGTGGGCAAAGTGTCTTTTGTGGATTTTTTTTTAAGTTTTAAAATGTCTTTAAGAAAGTAGCTTTTTAACACTTACTACCAAGATCTATTTCCGATGTTTTTCTTGAATCTGCTATAAAGGCAAAAGTGTTGTGTCCTATGTTTGCATCACGTCCATGCTGGTGGTACAGTACCACTGCTTCACTCCCACTTGTGGTGTATTCTGAGCATTTCCAATCACTGATTCCCTTTGAAACAGGAGAGAGAGTTTTTACCACTGGCTCCAGATCCAGATTGCTCCGTGTGTGTCAGGCCTGACAGTTCTTCCACAGGCCAGAGCCCCAGTGACAGTCACTTGTCATCACGTCGGACTGCAGGTAATTCTGTGTAACTTCAGGATACTGAAGTTGAGCTAGAGAAGGTCTCTACTTTCTGGACGGAAATCACTGTAGAATCATAGAATCCTTTAGGT